CACCAAAGAGGTCCCGAACTTGAAATAGATCGTCACAGTGCTCCCGGACCTGAGAATAAATCACCACAGAGGTCCCGAACCTGAAATAGATCGTCACAGTGGTCCCGGACCTGAGAATAAATCACCGTAGTGAAACAGGTGTCACCAGGCCCATACCGTACTTGAAGCACGTCAGACATCGTAGGACGTAGCCGCTCCATAACATCCCTCGTACCCGCACCGAACCAAACATCATAGTGACCCAAGGTAGCACCTGTCCATGCGTCTCCCACTCTCAGAACATCCCAACTGCGGTAGTGTTAGTAATCAACCAAACCAGCGAAAGCGACGCAGGGAATCTCGACCATCGGCAGTATTGAAAACTGTTAAAATCCGGGAAAAATGTCCAATCCGGGATCAGGGCTGATGGCGAGTAATCGAGGCGAAATTAGGCCAATCTCCGAATAATCATGGGTTCCCGTCCCTTTCATCGTTTTTCATCATTCTTCCCTTTCCTTAATTCTATTGTCGGAAATAGTAAATCAACTGTAAGTTCCCTAAAATTAAATTCCGAAAAAGTTTAAATAAATGGCCGAATTCCTTCTGTTTCTTTTCTCTTTTACCATTCTTAATCTCTTTTAATGTTTTTAATTTCTTTGCCGGGAACATAAAATAACAAGGGTATTCCCGTTAGAATTAAATGCCGTGAAAAATAAAGAAATTAAGGGATGTTATGTTTTTTCACTTCTCCTCTACCGGTCTTCATCCTTTACCCCCTCTTTAATTTTGGTACTAAAATAGACAAAAATTCGAGGCCTCTTTTCGGCCCCGGTCGTATTGTTGCAAAAACGTTGTAGCGAGGTCAGTTCCGCGATGCCTCTTCGCGACAGGCCAATCCGGGTCTAACCTTCTGGACAGCTGGAAATGGCGGTCTCTAGATATGCCGAGTGCGCCGACCCATCTCACTATCTTTGAGGGTTAGTCGTAAGGTTCCGTGTGCCCAAAATCAGGGATGCCCTGAGTTCCCCTAATTTTTGCTGCCTGGTCATACCAGAGTACCGTCAAAACACGGACTTGTTCCTGAGCCTAAGTCCCAAAACCGCAGATTTAAGGTGGCGCACTGCTTGTGGCCGCCTGACAACGCTACCTGCTGGCATTGTAGCGAGGTGGGCCATACTATACAGTTCTGCCAACGGCGGCGAGATGATGAGTTGGCTGGTCTAATTTCCTCTTGTATGGACGGGGATATATACGATAAGTGGGGAGAGCATATCGACCCTAGGACCCTGGGAGGAATCAGGCAAGAAGCGCTTAGGCGAGCGGCGGGAGGGCCATCGACAACCCCGACCATGTTCAGGATGTGGCAGGAGAAAGAAGAGTTGGCCATAAAAGTTGAGGAGATTGTGAGAGATAGCGAGGAGGTCACCCAGCGTCTAAAGGCGGGGACGATAAGAGAGGAGCCGATAGTCGTCGAGTCAGACGATGAGGGGCAGGAAGCCGAGGGAGAGTCGGCCACACTCCTCTTGGGGAGGATGGAGGATCTGCTGGAGAAGGTGGGGAGATACCAGCGGAAGCTGCAAGCCATGTGTGAAGAGGCCCGAGAATGGGAGGCCAACCTGCCTGAGGTCTTCCTTTATGACTCCGGGCCAGAGCCTTCGCCAGGACAACAAGGGTGCCCAGGAGTGGCGACTGTAGGAACGGGCCCTAGGTCAGGTATGACCTATAGACCCCCCACGTCGCACGGGAGGGTGCCGCAGGCGGCTCGGACCAGGGGCCAAAATAAGGCTGGGCCTAGTCAAGAGCCCAGTCAGGCGCCTAGTCAGGCACCCCCTCGAAAGGACCCGGAGCCTGGATGTAGGAAGGAGGTGGTGGAGGTTCCGGAGGAAGAGGAAGAGGATGACGATGAAGAGGATGAGAGGCTCCGACAAGAGGATCAGCGGGCGGAGCTGAGGGCCAAAAAGAAAGGGGCCCAGGAGGAGGCCGAGCCACGCCTGCCCGACAGCGTGCCAAAGAGGAAGAAGTACGTGGTCCGGATGGAGGAAGGCTTTGATGTGGAGCAGATGGTGGACAAACTCCTGGAAGGCCATAATGACTTGATGAACCTAAAGGACATCCTGGCGTCGGCGCCAAGGCTCCGTGGTGAGTTGAAAGGGCGGCTCTCGCGAAGGCTGGTACCAAATGCCCATATGAGTACGGTCCTGCCCCGGGAGGTGGAGTGGACTGAGGCAGGGACAAGGATGGACTGGAAATGTGTGGCGTGTGGGCAGGTGGACCTGGTGATAAAGAACCAGAAATGCACTGGGATGGTGGACACGGGCGCGGAGATGAACATCATCAGGGAGAAGGAGGCGGTGATGATAGGCATGGACATCGACCGCTCGGACCATGGCATGTTGCACGGCGCTAACTGCAAGGCCGCTTTTGCGGCACATCATCTAATGTGATTATAGAGATTGGGAAGGTGCGAGCCGGGACTTGCTTCTTCGTCATGCCCGATGTTGATCATCCCATCCTTCTGAGGCGGTCGTTCCTATGCCGGATGGAAATGTTGATCTTCAACAAGCACGACGGAACAATGATCCTGCTCCTGTGCGACCCGGCGTGTGGGAATTATGAAGTTGTCACATGTCGGAACACGGGGCCGGGGAGTGGGAGGAATAGGCCCAATCTAGGCTCCTTCACCTTTGAGGAGTCAGAGAACGAGCGGAGACGGCTTTGGGAAATGCCCGAGGAGGAAGATAGGGTTGAGGTGCTGACATAGAGCCTCACGGATGTGAATAAGGCCATGGAGGTGGTGTCGGCTCACGACATGGCGGATCTGGAGGCCATTAAGGCATTGAGGGAACAGGTTTTGGAGAACCCTCAGGTGGGGGAGGTGGAGTTGGTGTATCGGCTTCCGAGAGGGAGGGGAGGCCCTGCGATGGCCCAGGCCTGAGCGACAAGTCGGCCTTTTTTAGGGGAGGGTTTAGGCATGGTTCCCAAAGGCGGTACAAGACCATAGATAAGAAGTGCCGCCCAGTTCCCGTGCTCGTCACAGAGGATAAGGAAGCCTACTACGAGCGGGAGCGAGGTTTGATACGGCGTATGCGGGAGCACGCGTTGGCCGTGCCGTGCCGTATCAACGACGAAAATGAGGGGAAGCTGATAATTGGGGAGCCCGACTTCCTGTCGCCCCAGGAGAGAGCGTTGATGGTGGAGCTGATGAAGAAAAGGCATCGCGCGTATGCATTCAACGACGACGAGCGTGGGAGACTGGATGTGGACAAGATCCCGATGATCAGGATCCACACGGTCCCACATGAGCCATGGAATCTAAGGGGCGCGCGATACCCAAATCCAGATGAGGAGAAGAAGGTAGTGGACTATCTGGACGGCAAGATGCGGACGCACGTGGCCAACTATTCCAGTGAACCGTATGCGTCATCTTGGTTTTGTTTTATCAAACCAAATGGGACGCTAAGGTGGGTGCAGGACTTGCAGCAGTTAAATGCCATGACGGTGCGGGATGCGGGGGGGTTACCAAACGCGGACGCGCTGTCAGAATCGTGCGCAGGGAGGCCTATAATTTCGCTCATAGACCTCTACTCTGGGTACGACCAATTCCCTGTATACCCGTCAGACAAGCCTGTAACGGCAATTCACACTCCCAGAGGGCTGATTCATATGAACGTGGCGCCTCAAGGTTGGACGAATGCGGTGGCAATGGTGCAAAGGCATATGATCAGAGTCATGCAGACGGTCAACCCACATATCACTCATCCCTATATCGATGGTCTGGCGGTCAAAGGTCCGAAGGAGAAGGAGGAAAAGGAAGTGATGCCCGGTGTGCGGCGCTTTGTCTGGAAGCATGTTCAAGACATCGATCAGGTTCTGGGGTTATTGGAAGAATATAACCTAACGGCGAGCAGCCCCGAGTCGAGACATTGTATGAGGGAGGCCACGATTCTAGGCTTTGTCTGTAATGAGAGTGGGCGAAGGCCTGATGTAAACAAGACAGACAAGATTCTTGAGTGGTCGGTGCCCTTCCGCTCGATAACGGATGTGAGGAGCTTCCTTGGGACGTGCGGATTTTGGAGGAGCTTCGTGAAGGACTTTGCCACGAAGACGGAGCATTTAAATAAGTTGGTGCGCCAAGATCAAGAATGGGTCTGGGGCGAAGACCAGGAAGAGGCGGTCGGTAAGATGAAGAGAGAGTTTAAGGAAGGAGGCTTGGTATTGGGAGCGCCAAACTATGAGGTCACGGAGGAAAGACCATTCGTCATTGAGACGGATGCTGGGCCAACCGCCTTGGGAGGGGTCCTGATTCAGGCAGATACTGAGGGGAAGGAGAGGCCGCTAAGATTCGAAAGTCGTACCCTCAATACAACTGAGAGGAACTACTCTCAGTTCAAAAAGGAGACGCTGGCGGTACTTCATTGCTTAAGGACCTTCCGGAACTATGTTTTTGGCAGGAGGCTCATCTTGAGGGTGGACCCTACTGCACTGGCGTGTTCCCTGAAGAATTATACTCCATCTGACCCAACCGTCGCAAGATGGTTGACCTACATTTGAATGTTTAATTCCGAGTTGGAAAGGATCCCAGGGAACAAGAACAGGGCAGATGGGTTAAGCCGCATCAACTAGGACGGACCGGACGAGGAATCGATAGAAGACACACCGCCAGTTGATGGGTTTCTGGATCAAGAGGAGGACGTTCGCCTGCACATAAACGAATGGTTCCTGCGAGTGCCCAGTTGTGTCAGCCACCCCATGTGGCTGGCACCAAAGGGGTACGAGCAGAAGGAAGAGTTAGTCCTCAAGCCCTTTCAGGAGGAGGATCCGTGGGGAAGTAAGGATGTTGGTTGGATGATGAAGTTGGCGTTGGCAGGTACGCACGGTCTGGTGGAGGAAGTGAGGACAATAGAGGAAGGCCTCGCTCGGGTAGAGGAGCATGAACAACTAATGGGAGGGATGTACCTGCTCACCAATACGCTCTTGCAGGGAGACTTCGACCGGAAGGGCTCGTTTAGTCACGAGGAGGATGAGATTCTGGTTCCTGGAAGCCGAGACGACGAATTCGAGGAAGGAGAAATCAAGGAGGCGTTTCGGGCGGAGGAGTACGATGGGATCTTCCGGGAATTGGGGTTGCTCCTATCATGTGAGATGAGGGATAGAGATGCGAGCGCCAAGGCACAGAAGATGAGACACCTATATGTGGTAAGAGACGGCCACTTGTCTATAAAGCGGCAGGTCGGGAATCCCAAGAGGATCATATGTGGGAGAAACCGACAAACTGATATCATAGCGGCCCTACACGATGGTATAGCAAGGGGGCACAGAGGAGTAGGTGCCACATGCGCGAAGATAAGCGAGCTCTACCATTGGGACGGGATGCTGACGATGGTTATCAAATACTGTCGGTCCTGTATACCTTGCCAGGAGAGGTCGGCGCAAAGGCCAGGAGAACCCCTACACCCAAGGTTAGAAAGAGAAGTGGGTGCGGTCGTACACCTGGACCTGTTATTCATGCCAGCAGGGGAGAATGGGTGTAACTACATCTTCGACACACGGGATAACCTTACTGGATTTGTGGACGGACGGGCTGTCCGAACGAAGACTGACCCGGTTTTGGCAAGCTGCATCGAGGAGTATTACTTGCGATACCCCTTTGTTAGGGAGTTCGTGATGGATCGAGGATCAGAGTTTACCTGCAATGAGGTGAGGACGTTGCTTGCAGGGTACGGCGTAGTGGCCAACTATACCACGGCCGCACACCCTCAAGCGATCGCTCCTGTGGAGAGGGGGCACAGTACCATCATGAATCTCCTGGCTAAGTGGACAGAGGGCAAGCCTAGTCAGTGGCCAAAGTTCTTACGGGCAGCTTTCTTCGTGGATAATGTTACTGTAAAAAGGACTACCAAGTACGCGCCAACCACGCTATGGTACGGGAGGCATGCTACCTTTCCCATAGAAAGCTTTATGAAGACGTGGAGGCGCCAGGACTTAGAGGTAAACTTGTCTTTCGAGGAACTGCTCGATATTTGGGCGCGGCAAGTGGGGGCGGCCGAAGAAAGATTGCGAGAGGTCGCTGGTCAGGTGGAGAGGAGTCAAATGAGGTGGGACCAGATGGCACGAGTAAGAAAGGAGCCATTGGCAGTAGGGGATGTCGTATTACTATACGACTCCTCTTTGGAAAAGCAATGGTCGAGGAAGCTTGACAAGAGATGGTTGGGCCCCTATAGGATATTGCGATGCGGCGAATTTGGGGCCTATCAGATCGAGGAGCTGGACGGGACAGGCTGGCAGGATTGGGTATCCAGACCAGGCTGAAGAAGTTTGTGGCCAGGGAATAGGTAAAGAATTCTACCTTCCTCAGAGTAGACCGGTCCTTGAGGTATCGCATGTTATGGTCAGGACAAATAAGGGAGTAGGAAAAGGCATGTGTGTTGTCATAAAACTTGATGAACCGAGGGCTAACCTTGTTGTGTGCCTGCTTGCTTTCTCTCGCCTATTGTGGAGGTCTGACTTTTCGAAGACAGCCATGCAGAGGGGCGGGAGGGGCGCGCGGCCATGACAGGGGCCTCAGGGAGCATCAAGAGGGGATGACTCGCGCAGACCGGTTGGGAGGGAGTCTACGGCTATTTTCGACGACGGTAACATAGAGTTTTTTCTGAACTCCTACCAGGCACATGCGACACGATAGGGCTGGTCTGCCTTGGAGAGGATACGGCACCTGAGGGGAGTTGGGCGCTTTGAGGAGCCTATTGCGCACATCCGGGAGGAGGCCTTGACCTGGCCGGATGTGGAGGCGAGGATGCAGATGCTGAGGGCTTCGCCGCTGGGACCAGATGGGTTGCCTATTCAGCTGGAGGAAGGCAATGCGGAAGAGTTCATCCCTGCCTACGAGCAGTATATGCGCCACCAGGGGACTAGGCAGGAGGAGTGGATGCAGATGCTGCCCCTCTGGACATGGAGGGCGGAGAGGTCGTTGGCGAGGCAGATCCGGGACAGGGCACACGACTGGGAGGACTGCCAGGCCCAGTTGAGACAGGCATTTCGGCGACTAGAGCCCGAGAGGCCAGAGCCCAGGGTGGAGAGACGACAAAGGAGTAAAAGGCCACGGGGCCCAAAGGCGAGAGGGACCACTACGACCAGAGGGGGCCGAAAGGCCTTGGCACAGCGAGAGGGGCCAGCAGAGGCCGCCCAGGCGGTGGAGCCAGCTCAGGCCGCGGGGCCAGCTCAGGCGGTGGAGCTACCCCCTACCTATGGACTAGAGCAGGTGGAGTTTCGCCAAATCACGGGCAGTGATCTACGGGGCCCGTCGCCGACGTTGCCAGAGGGGGGAGAGCTGGTGTCGTTGAGGACGCCGCTCGACAGATTGGAGGTTCATCTTGATGCGTCCCAGTGAGGGGCGTCACAGCGGGGAGCGGACCAGAGTGAACCGGCACGGTGTCAGGCGGCCACAACGGCCCACAAGCAGTGCACTGCCTGAAATCTACAGTTTTGGGACTTAGGCGCGAAGACGACTCCGTGTTTTGACGGTACTCTGGTTTGACCGGGCAGCAGAGATTAGGGGAACTCAGGGTACCCCTGATTTTGGGCGCACTGAACCTTACAGGTAACCCTCAAAGATGGCGAGATGGGTGGTCGCACTTGGCACATCGACGGACCGTCATTTCCGGCCGTTCAGAGGGTTAGACCCGGATTGGCCTGCCGCGGGGGGGGATCGCGGGGACTAACCCCGCTGCGACGTTCTTTGCACCGTATGATCGGGGTCAAAATAGCGCCTTGAATTTTTGTCATTTTTTATATCTAAATTAAAGATGGGAGAAGAGATTGAGAACAGTAGGAGGGAAGAGAAAAACGTAATATTCCTTAATTTTCTTGTTTTTCGCAGCATTTGAGTTTTGGGGAAAATACCCCGTTATTTTTGCTGCTAGCGGGAACGGCCAGAGTCACTGATTAGGCAGCTGAGCTTTCCGCCGATCAACTATTCGAGTTTTCCCAATCCCTTACTAAGATCACCAAATTTGCAGGCAAACAGGTATGTGTAACTCTGATATGAGAGAGAGAGTGCACATAGACAGAGAGTGTGCAGAGAGAGAGTGTGCAGTCGGAGAGAGAGACGTGGAAAGCAGAAGTTGGAGTGCTTTCCCGTCGACCTACAAACACCGCTGTGGTAAAACTCGAATATGGAACGAATCGGCGCGGTATTTGTTTCTCAGTATAAATGATTTTTCCTAATTTTTCTGTTATTTTTCCTGGAAAGATCACGACCTAATCTACCAGTGGTAAGTTTTTCAGAGTATTTGGTGGATTCCTCTGAGCACGAAAAATCAAAGTCGCCGCCATCCCGCTGATGATGAACACAGTCATTTTCGTTGGTCACGAGAGCCCCCATTCTCAGAGAAGAGAGGAATAACCATTCCGCCATTTTCAGAGGAGAGAGGGATAGCCATCCCACAGACGGTGAACACAGCCACCGTGGTGGGGATGTCATCCTTGCCATGTCAGCAAATCAGGGTTGCTTTTGTTTTCATCCTATTAATGAGTGGCCTGTMGCCGCCCCCCTCGGTGCAGTTCTGGTCCAGTGTGACAAGAGAGTGCATGGGGACCAGCAAATCTGGAACGCTCCCTGGCACAGAGAACGCGGAGGGGTATGTTYGGTCAAACTGACCTCTGTAATAGGAAGAACCTGGATGTGTCTAGTGTCAGGGTCCCTCGCTGTTGGAAGCGCCTTCTTGAGTGAGCATGGGAGAGCGCGTCCGTTTGAGTGAGGAAGAGGAAGATGAGGGTAAGCACCCGGATGACGTTATGCGCTGGGTTCATTTTGCTCTCTCAGAACTGCAGTCTTGCCAGTCGAATCCATCATGCTTTGGGGCTTGATCAGTAGACCTGATCTGAAACGTTGTCAGGGCTATGATTATCTGGCTCGGCTCAATAGAGCCATGTCAATGCCACATTGTGACGCTCAAAGTTGAGAAATGATGAGTACGAAAGTGGTAGAGACACCAAGTGATGGCTGATTGGTATGCACGATAGTTACTGTACTTAGTCCTTTAATCTGATTCTATTGATGGGAATTGACGCGGACCAACCGCAAACTTCGACCACGTGATGAGATGGATAGCGCAGGCTCGCCGGGTTGAATTCAGGTACAGATTATGGCAATGTGATTTTCCAGTGTTCTTGCTGCGGATGCATTACGGCTTCATCTGGTGGATAGAAGCGCAAGACCGCAGATCATGTCAATGTATATCCCCACGACCCAATCCTGCTTTCAACTCACGGGAAATTGGTTAATTTCTTTATCTATTTATTCGCTTGACTATTTCATTTGCTTAAGCACCTGGATGAGCCAGCAGACCACGTTCATGGCAGATGAGGAGATGTCATAAGGCACAGGGAGAGCCCTTGATGTTAGTTGCCAAGGCGGATGTTTGGATTAAATGAACCTGGCCCGTGCGCCACGTCAGATTCGTCCGGCAAAGTGTACCCTTGAAAAGGAAGAAGGGATGAAGCACTACAAAGTGCGCGTGTCCAAGAAGACTCTATAGAAAGGATCCAGATGACAGGGTGGAAAACAAGAGAGAGAGAGAGAGAGAGAGAGAGAGAGAGAGAGAGAAGAGAGAGAGAGAACAGCGGGAGAGACTGAGAGAACAGCGAGGGGGAACAGCGCGAGAGAGAAAGAGGAAGAACAGCAAGAGAACTGCCGAGACTCTTTGCTGTGCAAACCTGCTGATTTACCAGTTAATCGATGGAACTCATTATTGTCTGAACCAGTCGAATTACCGGTTGACTATTGAGACTTATTACTGCTAAAAACAGCTGAATTACCTGTTGGATATTGAAACTCCTTACTGTCTGAACCTGGTGATTTACCGTTTGACTGTTGGAACTCATTACTGTCTGAACCAGCCGATTTAACTGTTGACTGATTGAAACTCCTTGTGGTGTGAAGATGCCAAATAAAGAAGAAAAGAGAAAAGAAAAACAGGTAGCGTGACAGGGCGTCTCCTACCTAGATCC